CAAGAATACTGCTATTTATGAAATTTAGATGTTTTGAATTCTAGCAATTTGGAATCACCTTCTAAGGATAGAAACTGTTGGTTATTGCTATAGCTAAAAGACCATAGCAACAAGAATTTCTTCTCATCAGAATTACTGTAAATTTTCCAAGTTCTAAATAAAATTTTTGCAAATCAATACTCTGCTGGTTCAGCAGAGAAAGCGGATGTGGTGGTACCTCTGTGTGTGGAGCAATGCACAATCTACTTGTGCTGGGCTATGGGGACACCACAGGGGACCTGTCCCCAACAAGTTTACAGAAGTACAAAGGAATCAGATCAATTTATTGTTGAGGTATTTTGATAGAAGTGTATCTAACGGAGACCACAGGGAGCAGCTCCACTGGATGAAATGTTGGCAGCACAGTGTGTTTCACAGAGGAGAGGCAATGGCCGAGTTCATAAGCGAGGACGGGTGCTTGGTAATTGGAGAACAAAGTTAGTACAGCTTGAACGGACCTGTACACAGGGTGGTCTGGGCTGACAAATGAATTGAAGATGAGTCTAAGAAAAGAGGCAGAGTCTATACATCATTAAAATAGGCTTGTCCTTTATCTCTTGGGCATCAGGAAACTAATGAGGAATGTTCAACAGCAGAGCTTCATGACCCTGATGGCTCTGATATATCCGATAGGTTTGTGGGTGTTTGAGAAAATAGCAACAGGGAAATACCAGGGTCGGCCAGGAATGTCGGATCCAATCTGACAGAATCCCGCTGAGGATGCATGGGACAGGGCCTTGGTCCTGGGCTGAGGTCCTGGGCTTGACCATCAGTGCTGGATAGGGGAGTGAAGTGGCCCACGGTCCTCCTCCTCCTGTCCGTCACACTCCTGGCAACTTCCTCCTACTGTGGAGATCTAGCAGGATGGAATGGCTGAGCTAAGCATTTAACATTGCAGGTATTAGAATAAAATACCTGTGCTTGTTTCATTGTTTTGAAAACAGCATTGGGTATTTACGGGGTAATCTTTTCTGTGAAAGTTTTTAGACCGTGACTTGACTGCATCACAACTTCACACTGGAGTTTCCCGAAGGAACATGGCAGTGGCATTGACGTTGGCCTTGTTAAGCCCTTATAGTTGTGGTGGACTTCTTTTCAGTACTGGGGGTTGAACCCAGGGGTTTCACACTGAAATGCATCTTTAGTCCTTTTATTTTTAACTTTGAGACAGGATCTCACTACGTTGCCCTAGTGGGCCTCAAACGTGTGATCCCCCTGACTCTGCCTCCCAAGGGGCCATCATAGTTTTACGCATTATTCTTATGAATAATGAGTTTATCGGACAGTACACTTAAAAGCCCACGGTGACTTATTTTTTTAAAAAAAAGGAGAATATTCAGACTAAGGTCATAACTCAAAGTCATGTTTCTTCTGAAAGAAAAAAATAGTTGTTTTAATAAAAATAGTTGTTTTAATTTTATACAAGTTAAGAATAGTAAGATTTACATAAGAGCCAACAGATGTTGTCCTACAGTGTCCTGCCGTGGTGGGCTGTCTCTACCCTGGCCCCAGATAGTCCCCACCTCCTGGAACTCACGGACCACACGAAGAGACGGTGGCAAAAGTGCTAGGATATCACTTGGAGATTAGGTTCAAAAACATTGACTCTGCCGTACCTGCCCCCTTTTGCTTCCTCGCTAGCTTACCCACGAAGACATTTGTCATGTCTTGAGCTGCTTGATGGAGGGGTGGGCTCCGTATGACAAGGACCACATATCTCCAGCCAGCTATTATGGAGGAGCTGAGGACATCAACAGCCACATAGGACACTTGGCAGTGGAAAATCCCCAGCTCAGCCATGAGACGATGGAAAACCATCTTGGTTGATGGCATTGACTTCAGCCTTGTGAGAGACCCAGAGCCAGAGAGCATTGCTGAGCCACACCTGGGTACACAGCCCACAAGGTTGTGAGGTAGTGGGCATTGTTTGAGCTGCTATGTTTTCGATAATTTGTTATGAAGCAATAGCTATCTAATAAATTTGTTTTATTTAATTATGTGTTTTAGATCAAATAAAGTGATATAAATAGTAGACTTTGCAGTCTTTGCTAAGTAACAAAAATATCATGCCTTTGTAATTATTTTATTTTCTTACCAGATTCTTTTCTAAAGAAAGATTGAATTTTTTAATATATGTCAATAATATCCAATGCTTACCTTACATGCTGAACCAAACCAACCAATCAACTAACTACTAATTCCTAATTTTGGATAATACATAAAATAATGTTATAGAATTTTTCAGTTATGTAACATTAGAAAGAATTAAATTTTCTCTTCTGATACAATATCCAACTATTCTTCACACTTTACCATGTGCCATTTAAAATTTTCACTGTAAAGTAAAAACTAGGGAAATACTATTAAGTACACATTCTGTAGGATCTCTTCTCTTCCTTAGCAAGTGAACAGCCTAAGTATGGATGGCTTTATTTTCAGGGATTAGTTGAACTGCATAACTTTTACATTCATTCTCATCTAAGTGGCTATTTCTCCACAAAAGTAATTTGGTTTATTCAGAAGTCTACCCATGTAATGAATTTCAATTGGCTAGTGTTAAGCTTTCAGTGTCATGCTGGTAGCTGGGGCCAGGGCATGTCTGAGGCTCATGTGTGCAATATTAGTAGAAATCACATTTGCAGCAGGATTAGAGATGGACAAAAATGTTAACAAACTCAGTGGGAATCATTAATCTGGGAATTCTTGCAAAGGGCAGCAAGATCAGAGAAATGATATGAATTATCTTTTAAAATTTAGCACCCTGGGAAAAAGAGACAGTTTTTAAAAAATGTGAATACATACATCCAGTGGGAAGAGATCTTTGGATAACAGCCTTCACAAAATGAATAAAAGGAAATGAATTGAAGAATAGGGAAGACATTGTTTGTTTATGTTTAAGAAGTATCTAGTAAAATCCCCTGAGTAATACAGGAGGATTTCTAGTCTTTTACAGAATGTTGTTACCACTGTGAACATGGTATCCTAAGAAATTTAATTAATAGCAAAGTGGGTTTTTTTAGGAAGACAACTCTCTTGACCCTGTGGTAGGAAATCATATCTATGGGCTTTCCAGCCCTTGTTATGGCACTGTGGTAAGCTACAAATATTATTTCCCCAGTGCTCTTGCCACTGAATACACATGTGTCCTAGATCAATCCCTACAGTTAGGCACCTCACTTACGGAATCATATCAAGTTCTCTGTCAGAGAAAATCATCAGTTTATGAACAGTACCATCAGTAAAATGTCTAGACTTAGTATTTTGTGGACAGAAACTCGGCGATAGCTCATCAGGTTGAGCCCTCACTCCGATTTTGCAGATGAGGGACCCAGCCATCATCTTTTCCCTTTCTTGGCACCGAGTCACAGGGACAGAAGCAGGTAAACTGGCACCCTCATTCCACATAAGTCCCCCTGGTTGGGTTTCCCAGAAATGAGCAGTTGCTTGCAGAGAGTTTTCTGGAAAGGGCTCTATGGAGGTGAGCCAACAGGATTGGACAGAGGGAGAAACTGACCTATCATTCAGTTATAAGAGGCCTCCGCTGAACACAGAAAATGGCCAGGGGTCTTTGAAGTTACCCCACATTGAAGCAAGGAGCTTAGATTTTGAATTCCCAAGTCAGAAGACCACTAGCCAGTGCCCACAGATTGGGAAAGTGTGTAACCCAGGTGGGCAGCTTCCTGGGCCAAGGAGCAGGCACCCTGCTGGACGTGGGTGTTGGCTACCAATAGCTGATGACCCCGCCCCCACTGTGCCAGTGTGATCCATTCTGCATTGCAGGGGCCTTCTTGTCTGAGGAGAGTTCCAGATTCCTCCTGGTCTTATCTTCTGGGGAAACTTACCAGGAAACTGTTATGTGTTAAATCTCCAGGTTTCAATGATAGTTTTTAGTTCCTCCTCCACCACCTAGTCAAGATTCCTCTTGCTCTCAGGTAGCATGAGTCCGATGTGGCCAGCTTGACTGATAGGGTGATCTAGACCTACATCCCTGAGGGATTTGAGCCCTGATTTCCATGTGCACCTTAGGCTATGGATGCTCTACCTCCCTATGTAAAAGTGTGGGCAGGAGCAAGCTATCTGACTGCCTGGCATATGCACTCCGCCTTCTCCTGGCAGCAGCAGCCTCACCTCCTCCTGCTAATGAGGAGGAATGACTCCTGTTAGCTCAGGGACTCCATTCCCTCCCTGCTGGTCCCTCTGTAGGAGTCTAAAGTAACCCTGCACCCGCTGGACTTGAAGTTCGTGGGACTGTTGCTGTGTCCTAGAGAACAAGCATTCTTCCTCAGATAATCATGATCTCTAGAGCCACACACCCTAAGTGAGGAAACAGAGAGCACAAATCTCCTTTACAAATCACTTGGAGTGAAGAAAGCAAACCGGCTTGCCCTACTTGCTTCCTGGACATCTGGTCTCTGTCCACTGGGAACAGCACTACACTGTACATGAGGATTTATGGTGAGTGCTGTGTACGGAGGAGAGATGGTGCCCTCTTTCTGCTGTCATTATCTTTGAGCTGGACCCTTGTTCATATCTGTAAGAGGCTGCCTCACATTCTATTGCAGCCATAGCTTTTGGGTGTTTGGATGCGAAGTGGGACTCCTGTACCTCACAGACATGGCTTCTTTGCCATGAAATTGGTCCCTTGTTGGTGGCCCCATCACTGAGCCTTCAAAGGGACAGTTCCTGTCTAAACTTGTTGCCAAGTGACTGGTCATTCTCCTCAAATAATGATGCCTCATTGAGAGAGCTTGACGTTCGTCTCTGCAGCTGGCAGGTTGGGTATTAGCTGAGGGAGACATTGGCCAGGTCACGCTCGGTGGATAGGAGCTCTTGCCTGTCAGCTCATGCAGGCCTTTTGTCCCTGCCACTGTGCTTCCTCTTCCTGTTTTGGTGTCAGGTGCAACACACAGGTGCAGCTAGGAGACAGCTCTTGTTTGCTTATCTGCCATGGCAACTCTGCATTTCTGTTTCATTTCCTGAGAGCCACTGCTTTTCCAAGTTTTCCACCATCCATCCTGGCAGTTTATGGACAGCATCTCCAGGCTCCTCTGGGGCTGATTCATCCTGTGTCTTATGAGAGGGGTCCATGTTCAAGAACTTCACCCTTCCATTTTATGTTCTGCATCACATAATTCAGTGCATTAGGAATCCAAGGCATTGGGGTGAACCTTAAAGTGGGAGCCAGACTTGTAAGTCACCTGCATCCTCAGAAGCTTCTGCATGACCTGTAAGTAGGGAAGGGGGTTCCTGAGAGGGACAGACAGGTTAAATGGAATGCAGGCATTCAAAGTCGTGAACTGTGTATTCCTAGGTATTCTAATCCCACGTTTCAAGATCTTTCTAATTCCCTGTTTGGGCACTCACATTTACATATAGGACCTGGCAGGGCTGAAAACTATCTCTGAAGTTTTATTATTCTTAAAATTAAATCCTGAGCCTAGTTCTCTCCTCTACTTGCCTTCTAGCTATAGGGAAATCATATCAAGGAAATTCTCTGGCTTTCATATTTTGCCTGAATTAGTAATTAATCTTCCCAAGCCTGACATTCTCTCTTTTAACAAATTATTGGTGCTTAGCAACAGCTACCAATCTCCCAAATCCTTATATTTATTATTTCATTCTCAGTGCATATATTTCAGCAGCCAGCGTATCTCCTTCCATTACTATTCCCTCTCAGTGAAAGTTTTACAGTAGTGAAAGTTTAAAGAGTTTGCTGGTGCTGCATAACAGTGGTTTCCATGCACACAGACCACAAATGGCAGGCTCCTGATTGCCAGCGGCCGGGTGCAAAATCACATCTGCATCCTGGGACCACTCCTGGTCTCAGAAAATGGAATTGGAGACAGAGAGTCAACTGGTGTACACACACCACTACAGTGTGCTGCCATGGTCCTCCCTCAGGACCAAGCAAGTAACCCTCTGATCGTCCAGAGTGCTGCCTGAGAGTGGCACAAAGGAGAGTCTCTTTCTGGGATTTCCCTGGGTTTAGAAAGAGCCACCCCGCCCAAAGTTAGGGTCCTTGGGGAAAGGAAAAATTATGAGAAAAGAAAAAAAAATGGAAATGAAATCTATGTCAATAGGGAGAGGGTGAAGGGTGCATAGGTAATGGGGAAAAATGAGAACCAAGATACATCATGTACAGGTACAAGCACCCAATGATAAATGTAAATGTACTGTATACCTAAAATGCACCAATAAAAGAATTTAAAAGTTAGGGCCCTTGTCAGGAGCACCTTGTATCCAGTGACTGCTCCATGTAGAGAAACCAAGTCCTAGACCTTAACTTCTATTTAGGATCACTCTGAAAAGCTGTCCTAGCTCCAAATTTCTTGTAGGATTTGCATCACAGTCAACATTTTTTGTGCTCTCATTCCCTTACAGGTATTATTGCTAAGAAAATGAATCAAGAATCACTTTGTATGCACGTCTCTATTTCCCATGGATACACACTTAAGACACATGCACTGCTTTAGTTGGCAAGTGCTCTGGAGAAATAGAATCCTAAGGAGACCAGGAAGGGAGTTGAACAAAGGAAACATGCTGACCTCTGATGTGGCTTCAAATGTGAGGAGTCGTCTGAGGAACTCTGAACTCGGAGCTGGAGTTTTCGGAATTGCAGTAAGGAGGTTGGGCTAGTGATCAGTCACCATCTGATTCTCCTGAGAAAGCATAAACTTGAGTCAGGCAGAGCCGAGGTGGACACCTCCAGGAGAATGAGGAGCAGAGTTTCCAATAAACTTGGGAATCGTGTCCATTGACTTCAAAGGGGATTTTGAAAAAGTGCTACAGTATAAACTACAGTGTTCAAGTGTGTGTCTTACTAGTTCTATAGTAACTAAGAAAATATTCAAATGCACATAAACTGTACACAATTATAAACACAACTCGGTATCAGTTTCTCTGCTTTTAAGATCTATAAGCATTACCAGGTGCCTGCAGGTGCACTTGTGAAAAAGCCAGCAATGTCCTGCGGAGCCAGGGAATGCTCTCCTAGCTAATTCTGGCTGGGTCTTGACTGGTGAAACATACATGATGGTTAATTTTAGATGTAAATTTGGGAAGGCCGTAGTATCAAGATATTTGTAGTCTAGATCTGTCTGTGAAGATAAATTTTGTGAGATGAGACTAATGCTTAAATCCATAGACTTTGAGTAAAGCAGATTACCCTTGTGATAGACCCCGTTCAGTCTGATGAAAACCTTAAAAGGAAATGCCTGAGGTTCCCTAAACAGGAGGAAATTCTGCCCACAAACTCCCAGGGAGGGAATGCCACCCTGGCTCTCTAGTTGACTGACCTCACCTAAATTTTCAGACTTGCGCATGTTTTGCACTGAACTACAACACACTGGCCAATTCCTTCAAAGCCCCTCAATCAGTCTCCCTCTCCCTCTCCCTCTCTCTCTCTCTCTCTCCAAACACACACACACACACACACACACACACACACACACCATTGTTTCTGTTTCTTCTACAGATGACCAACATACATCAGTTGGTCCCCACATGTCCCTATTGGATACCACATCAACCAAAATGCAGAACCAAGCCTTTCCCCTGGTTTTCAGAGGCTTATACACCCATAAACACACATATTGGTGTTAAATCAACACATAACTAACAGCTTTTCTCAAGGGTTAGAAGAGAAAGACTATGTATTTCTGCAACATATACTGGACTTGATCAAAATTTTAATTTTTTTGTACCAGGAATCAAACTCAGGGCCTTGCACTTGGCAGGCCGGCGCTGCACCACTGAGCTACATTCTTGGCCCCTGAACAAAATTTTAAAAGTAAAGAGTAGAAACACATCTATAGATAATTCAGATTGTGACATTATTATTTGTCATTCACAGGTCAAGAAATTAATTGAGAAGAACAAGAATTTCATCAGATAACTGGGAATTCAAAATTGAACAAAAATTTTAAGACAAACAAATGAAATAATACAAATTACCCAATAGGTTTTAATAGTAGATTATATTCAACCAAAAATATGATTTATAAATAGGAATGTAAATCTGAAGAAATTTTCTAGTATTTACCATTGAGAAGCAAATGAATGAAAAATGTAGACGAGAACATACGGAATGTGGAAGACACTGCAAAAGGCCTAATATGTGCAAAATTTAATCTGAGGAGAAAAGGTGAAAGAATGGAACAGTAACAATAGGTAAAGAGATATTTTTTAAAATGTGTTAAAATATATTAGATGAGGTACAAGTTCCCAATGAGAAATGTAATTGTGTTGTATACCTAAAATGTACCCATAAAAGAATTTAAGAAAAAAATTTATACTACGTGATAGATTCAAAAAGCACAGTAACTTTAAGGAATACATATACAGAAAAAATCACAGTCAAAAATTGTAAAACTATTTGAAAGCAAAGAAAAAATGAGTGTTTTACAAGGAAACAGAGGGACAAAGATGCTTGAACTTCAAGCATTAATAGGTATGATAACGGATTTCTTAACATGAACAATGGAAACAAAACTACATGTTATAAAATATGACTGAAAGAAAAAAAGGGTTAGGCACTTTCCCACCCCGAATGCAAGCACACATACACAATATTGAAAGAGGTTTACAGAAATATATTTCCAGATAGATGGTGAAGGAATAAATGAAATGTGGATACATGAGTAAATTAAAATGTGTGTTATCTGTATAAAGAAATTATTTCTCAACCTAAGGATGTGGCTCAGTGGGAGAGAGCACATGCTTAGCATATGTGAGGCCCTGGATTCAGTTCCTAGGACCAAACATAAAGAAGAGAAAGAAGATCATGTTTGATAGTGTTTAAGATGCAGAGAAAATAAAAATACATTGTAAATGTAGTACATTTACAGCGATAGCACATACACTTAAAGAATTCGAGGTGCTTCTTTATTGAGATTTAATTCAATATTAATACATAATAATTCTAATAATTCAAAAATGAAGATTGTATTGCCTAAAGAAGTCACTGAAATGGTATAGTAGAATTCATAACTACCAAGCTAGCAGAGGTCAAGTTTAGAATAATCAAAAATACTGAATCTAAAAGAAGATAGTGCAGAACAGCAAATGAAACATAGAAAAGTGTCTTGAAGGACAAAGAGTTGATTTACATCCAAAGTAAAAACCAAAGAGATGGGAAAAGTTACATCATGTAAAAAAATTACAAAGAAACCTGGTATAGCACTACTGGAATGACATAGTATTGATTGTTAAGTATAAAGTAAAATTTAAGGAATATATATTACTGTTGATTTTAAAAAGACATTTTGTTAAGCTAAAAGGATCAACAAAAGACATATAATTCTGCATTTACATGATCCTAATGATATAGCCTCAAAGTTCATTTTTAAAAATAAATATCTGAGAGTCATAGATGTTTTAATACATTTCTTTCCCTGAGTAGTGAGACAATTAGACACTAAGTAAAGCATACTTAGAAGATTTGGAAAGCTTAATTAATGAAGGCCTAACTGAGAAGCACTTCATAAAAGAGGTTATTAAAAAGGCCAAGAAGTATATGAAATTATGCTCAAACAGAAAATGAAAATTAAAACCCTAGTGAAAAAGCCTACATACTCAATACTTTAGTTAGACAAAGATTGGCACTAATACATGTTGATGTGGATAGAACTCACATATACAGTTGATTGGAAAATAAATTGAAACAACCACTTTACAAAAGTATTTGGCATTATTTATTAAAGCCGAATGTATACATAGTCTATGGGTAAAAAATTTTATTCCTGGAATGTAATCAAAAGAAATGGATGTAAATATTCCTTAAAAATATGTAATACATTCACAGAGGCAACAGTTTTTACAACTGTTAGCAAAGAGTATCAAAGAGAGGCAAATAATGTAAATAACTGAAATACTCATCTCTAGTAGAACCAGGAAATCAGTTTGGATTTCCTAATGATGCTAGTGCATTATCATAAGCAGGAAGAATGAATGAACAAATATCATGCACAATAATATAAAAGAATCTCACAAATATGAGAGATGGAATAAGCCAACTACTAATTTTTTAATCATATCATTCTATGAATGTAAAACCCCAAAGTCATGTACGTTTTGGCTAAGTCAAAATAGTGTCTGCCTCTGCGAAGGAAAGAGAAGATAGTTTTGGGAGTCAGCACAAGGGAGTTCTTGGGGCTGAAATGAAATTCTATTTCCTTACCTGGATGGTGGTGTGTTATTCTCGTGACAATCCATTAAACTGGACACTCAAGAGTATTGCACATTCATATATGGGTTTTAATCCAAAAACCTATTTTCATGTTAAAATATTTAATAATGCTGTGCAAAACCGGGTCTTCCTGATTTGTTTAATCTTCTCTAAGAAGCCATCACACAGCAGGTCCCTATCCTAAGGAAATGTTTAAGTTACCCTCCCAGGGGCTCAGCAACGGTCTCCAGTGGAGGAAAGTCCGATGGAAGATACTCCAATTCAAGCATCTTAGAATCACATGCATTCCTTTCTGAACTGCCATGACTTCAGTTTAACTTAAATGTGTAAATTTTACACAGCATATATTACCACTTATCAGGTTGTCTGAGGCTACATGTGAATGTCCATCTGGGACCTTTTCAAGATTCCAGCAGTTTGTCTACATGTTTTGACCTTAAATCAGCCATGAGAACATCTTTCTTGCTTTTGGACCTGAAATTCATTTGTAAATCCCTTAACAATACCTTGAGCTTTATATTTTAAAATTTCCCTGCCATTTCCTAAAAATGGTTAAGAAATCTGTTCTTCCTTCTCAAATGTTTCTCACATCCTAGTTTTTCCTTTTTGACTTGTCCTGTGAGACATCTAGACAGGCATATTGATTTTCTTCTCCATGCATCCAGAATCCAAGATATGTGTTTGTGACACAGGAGGGTGTGTATAATATTAGGCAGGCAGAATCTCTTCTACAGAAGAGTTTCTATCTGACTTTTAGCTATTTCCTTAAAAGAAACTCATAATTTCTTTTCATTGAAGAAACTTCTCTTATTTAAAAATAAAATTTTTCTATTTCTGTTAGGTATTTGTGTGGTTTGTGTTGGGCAAAACGTGTGTGTGTGTGTGTGTCTGTGTGTGTGTGTGTGTGTGTGTGTGTGTGTTATTGCTTCAAAGACTTCATCCATCCTGGAGAACAAAGGCAGTGAAAACAGGTAAGTACTGTTCTCTATCTGAAAATATCTGCTTTCACTGAATAATTTGAAGTGATGTTTCCTCCTAGCACTGAAATAGAGTCTACACAATTTTTATAAAACTTGGACAACACCATTCAAGTACTCTTTGAGTTTCAAAAAGATATGAATGTGCAATGTAAAAATAATTATTTTCTAGAGCAAAATGAAGGAAAGAAAGAGAAAGAGAGAGACACAGTCAGAGAGTAACAGAGACAGAGTTCTGGAAATAACTATGTTTTCAACTCCTTCCTAGAGAGGAAAATATATTTTAAGAGATATATTTTAAGAATCTGTTTATACAATCTGTTCTTACAATTTTGGGTGTTACTTTGGCTTAATATTTTCACTTGAGAAAGGCAATACATGCAAATTTTAGGTAAAGGAAGAAAAGTCTTTTTAATGAGGTCATAAAGATTGAGATGTTCTTATTAGATGTGCAAATCAACCTCAAGAGATTCGCTGACAGGCTCATATTTCCCAGATGAGGAGTCATGGGTATTTTGGAAGCAACACATGATGCTCAAGAGCAGCCAAGGCTTGTTCACAGGGAGTGTCATTTGGTTTGGACTTCGTTTCTGCTAGCCCCTAACATCCATAGTTTGCTGAAGGTGATCTTTTTTTTTTTCATATGAGTGCATCTCAACACACTTAGAATCCTAAATTCCCACTTATAACCAGCCAACTTTTCTGCCTGGGAGAAAAAAAAGATAAAATCAGACCATCATCCTCAGTGAATCAGGGGCATTTTTCCCAAAGCAATCAACTCTGCCTTAGTATGTAAGATGGGACAATGCCCCATCTCGAATACCTGGACTCACCACCTGACCCTGTTCTCAGGATCTGATCTGAGACCTGCATCATTGCATCACATATCAAGTATACCGAATAGTTTCTCTGGTGTGAGAAACTGAAAGTGTAAATAAGGATCAAACGGTATAATAAATAAAGTAAAATTGGAAGAAAAAGTGCAAAGGGGAAGGGAAACTGAGAGGAGTAGGGAAAAGGAAAGAAAGAAATGGAATTAATAGGAGAAAATTTAAAAATGGAAACAAAGTCTTTGTAAATAGAAAGGATTGGAGGGGTTAGAGGGAGGGAAAGGGAATGGGAAAAAATAAGAATCAAGATATATTATGTAAAGGTACAAATCTCCAATGATGAATGTCATCATATTATATACCTAAAATGTACTAATAAAATTTAAAAATTGTTTTAAAATAAAAATTTAATCTATATTTTTTCTTACATTTCTTTGGCCGGGCTTTTGAATATCCATGGTTTCCTTTGATTTTCAGCTCATCGTGATAAATCTTGTTTGTCTCATGATTGGAATTCCATTGAGTGGCACAAGTTCATTGCAATGCCGAATGATGCATTCTTTCAAAACACAACTGAGATCTCCATTTTTTCTTTCAGTCAGTATTTTTTCTATTTTTCATTAACTTCTGCTAATCACTGGCATCATAAAACTTCACTGGTTTATTCTTCTGTTTCTTTAAGTCATACATTGCAGTAGTTCCAATACTATACTCTTCTGTAAGATATTTCACACTCACTCTGTAGTCCAGTTTCTCTCAGACCTTGACTTTCTGTATTATAAACTTAAACGTTTCCCCTATTCTTATTACTGTTACTCCCCAGGTGTACTTGCAGGCTTTTTGACATTTTTTCAATAGGCAAATAAGCAAAGCACCACAGTTAGTGACACGTATGAGCTTGACATTTCTTTGGGCACCCAGTTGTGCTAGTATATCCCAGTTGACCGTGTTCTATCTTACTGCTGTTTGTGCGTGTGCTTGTGTGGGAGTCTCTAGGCATGCATGAAAGAGATACAACACAGCTGAAGGGGTAAAGATGGTCTCTTTTACCATTGGGACACTGAATAAACTGTGCGTTATATGCCTATATTTGACTGTGCCTTGACACATAGGTCAGGTGTGGAATTTTCAACTTTCTGCATCATGTTAGTACTCAAAAGGTTTGGATTATGGATTTTCAGATTAAGGACACTAAGTCTGTATTCAATTACTTCTGTTCCTTCTTTTACTGATACAGTTTATAGTAATGAAGTTATGTGAGTTAATGAAGTTTATACGGCTGGAAAATTGAATTTCTGGAGTTAAAATTCAAGTCTTCTTTCTCTCAGTCCACTGTGATCATTTTAAAATGATGTTCCACTATAGCAGCTCTGAAAGGCCCAATTTTTCATCATACCATTGGTATGTCTCATCCCCATATTTGATTTATGGCCTGTATTGGACCACAATTTACTTTGATAATAATAAAGCTATAATCTTATCCTATACCATCTCTTATGGGGTCAGTCACTTTCTGTTTCAGCTGGAAAAAAATAGTCAAAAGTTTATTTAATTGTGTTTTATATAATGTAATATAGACAGTGACTACCTTGATACCTAAAACATTATCAACAACAGAAGTAAAGGTCTTGAAATTGAGAAATTAACCTAGATATTTAGAAAAACTCAGGAGCAGTAACTAGACTTACATGGCAAACTAAGTAAAATATAATTTAAAAAAATCTTTTCCTGAACTTAACTCTAGAATTTGGTCAACATTATTTCTGTATGTCTTATAGTATCTTGGGAGACACTAGCTTATCATGAACAGACCAGCAGGAGAGTTAGAGTTTGTTGAATGAGCTCGTGTATAAATAACAGGTCCATAACTCTCTGAACATTTATGAGGCTCATTATGTTTCAGTTCTTGTTTAACGGCAAGTCTCTACTTGGGCAGTGGGATCCTGCTGATTTACTACTTATCAGGAATAAATTACAGTTTAGAACTTGGATTTTTCATGGTTTTTTGTGTCAGCATAAATAAACTTATGTAATAGGGCTATTTCCCATTGCCTATTAAACTAGCTGTGAATAAAAAGCCTCCTAGCTTGTGAAAAAATATCAGCAAGATGAGGGAACTGAGTCACTTTATTTAGAATGGATGTCAAATACTGCAAGTTATCAGCATTTCTTGATACCTTCTTTGAGGTTGTAGCTTTTATTTTTCTACCAGTTAAATAATAATATTTTTGTAGAAGCCATGAGCACTGGGGGCTAGAAAGTCATTCTGGATGATTCTGTGGACAGAGATGCCTGCTCTTCCTGAGATACTGCTCCACTTCTCCACCATCTCCATGCATTGTTCTCTTAATGGAATCTGGAGTGGTGGCTTCACCAGCTTGGAGGAAAAGTTGACAATTTTGCAATGACTGAAAGAGAAAATGAAATGTTATTTCTAGGTCTTCATCCAGAGTGATTTCTTGGCTCCAATGATCCCATTTCTTTTGCAGAAGCAGTTTTTTTGGTATTAGTTAACATTCAAGGAATAGTTTTAAGTTTTACAAGTGCAAAATGGTCATTATTTTTATCAGTGTGTTGGAGGTTATTTTGAGTCTGAATAAGGAGGCCCAGATTCAATAAAACCTCAGCCTGAGCTTCCCAGCAGGATGCTCAAACCATGGAAATTCAACAGGGGAGCACACATGGGTTTCTATGACACTGAACCAGGGCTGGATTTCCATTTAATCAGTCTCATGAAATCAAAAAGCACTTTGGGATTAAATGGTAAATCTTTTCATAAGGAATTCCTCAGCCAGAATGGACAATTAGCATTTAAAATGCAGAACTGTCTTATGTAAGAGGAAATGAGTAAAAACAAAACAACAACAAAAAAAAAGAAAGAGGAAAGAAAAAAAATCTTCCTTATTAGCTAGAAAGATAAACAAGAAACATGGAGCTATCGTAAAGCAAACATTCTCTTCCAGGGCAGGAAAAATATCACATAGCTTTTTTTCCATAGAAGAATAAGAAGGACCGAATTAGTTTCTCACTCTTTAACTAGTAAAATAAGCTGAAAGAAATATTTAAAGCCTCTTTTTAAATTATATACACTATTTTGTTACATCATATTTAGTAGAAGACTCAAAAATTTAGTTTCTGTG